AAGAACATTCTTGGTCTTCTCCCTAAAATTTGCATGCTTTGGCCAACTAACAAATAATCAAACATAATGTATGAGACGCTTGCTCCTAACTCATAAATATGAACATTTCCCTTAAAATGGAGAAATCTCGCTGCATTGTGATAAAGACAGGAAAAATGTCAATATATATATATATATATTTAACGAAAAGATTTCATAAATTAAAAAGATTAATTTTAACAAAAGTTTTACATATTAGTAAGATATTGATGGAAACTAATCATTTTGTCATCTTGATTCTTAGTTTCTGGATTTTAAATCTGTGTTTGAGAATAGGATTCCCAGCAAGAACCGAAGTTTAATTATAAAATATGATTGAATTGATTTTGAAGAACCCAGATGGCCTTTAATGTGGGATTAATGTTCTTTAGTGGGCAGATAGTTGTGGCCTAAAATAAGAGTTTGCCAAACATGAACACTAACTTAATGGTTTGGTTGACAACCTAAAAATTGCATAATAGGAAAGACCTATAAAACAAATTAATTCTTTATTTAAATTCTCATTATTTTATATTTTCGTTATTGTTTTTTTATGTGTAAAAATTGTATCGTGGGATAGATATATAAAACAAATTGATTCTAATAATATGAGTACTATTATTTTAAAATTTAATAATGGAGACCTGAAATTTTAAAAGTTTGTATCTTATTACAATAGTCTTTTTTGCATGCTTAGAATATCCAAAAAAAAAAAAACAAACAAACAAACAAGCGAGCATCTCAAACACAATAATCTTGTTTGACACAATGTCCACAGACTTACACAAATAGAATTGAAATTGGTAAATTCTTTTGAATAAGAAAACTAATGCATTCAAAAATATACTTCAACATATTTACATCAAAATCAGTGATTTTAGTAGCATTATTAAACCCAATTCAAAAGCTTGAAAGAATAATCATGTCAAGAAGTAGATTTGTCTTGTTTTGATCCCAAGGTTATACCAAACGATGTCGTCTAGTTTATCAAGTTTGTGTCCCCCTCTCTTGAAAATGCCAAAAGCCAAGGCAAAAACAGGAAAACATTACACCCGGATGGACTTTGAGAATAGTTGCTTTCATTTTCCCCTTATTTCTTTTATTAGATATGCATTCACATGATAGATAATTATTATACTATGAGAATCTAAATCCCAATTAACAACATAGTTTTATGAATGTTCATAAAAAATATTAACAACATATGCTAAAAAAATGCATAAATTAGTGATGAAGTTTTGTTCTATTAAAACTTTAAAAGAACTTATTAACCAACGAGGGATTTTGGATGAATTTTAAAAAAAAAATGGCAACGTAAGAAAGCTCCATAATATTATTTGGGAGAGATTAATTTTAATGTACACATGATTAAATAATAATCATAGCGAACTTGATTGTCTAAACTCCATAAAAAATAAGTAAAGGTTTTTTTTTT